GTTAAGCAGCTGAATAGTGTGTAGGCGAATGCGGGCATCCACTTTTAGAGGCAGCGACCAAAATCATTGAGTCAGCTGATATAATTTTTGTAGCAAGTTGGTGGTGGAGACTACTTTCCTATTCAGATGTAATTTCTAGTTTGTTTACAGATAATTTACAGTTGTAACTTTGAAAGTCGGATTGTTATGGGATTAGGTCGACCCGGACTTTCATTTAGAAGATCAGTTCTGTATTTCTAGTTCCTGTGCTTGTTTTGTTTTAATATTCACGGTTTAATTTTGCAGTTGGAAATTAATTACTAAGAAAATGTTTGTAAATTGTGAAATGGTAGGTAGTAGGAAATACAATTTTAATATACCATATTGATTCCTGGGGACAACATTACGAGGTGCGATCGGAAAGTTTCCAGACTGTGTCAATAGCGGGCGAACCGGTTGTAGTACGAGCTTCTGCCGCTAGGGGGTGCGGCCTACATTCATAGTGAATCAGTGTGCCAGCCGGCATCATCGAATTAGCATTTGTTTCTTAGTTACGGGCGTTTTGGTAGTGCATTACACCGACCCTCCTGCGATTTCGGAATGGCGGGTGCATCAAATTTTGCCAAAGACTCGCCAAAACGGCTACGGAAACCTATGAAATGCTAAAGCAAGCATTTGGGGAAATACTTCGAAATGGGTCGTGCACAAACTTTTGTGGGGCATTCACGTTTTAAAAATGGCCGAACCCCTGTCGATGATGACGAGCATTCTGGACGACCATCTTCGAGCACAACGCCCGAAAATGTTACGAAGATCGACGTCGTACCATCAACGACTTGTGCGACATTGTTGGGACCTGTCAGCTGATTCTAAAGGAAGAACTCCACATGCGACGCATCAAGACAACGCGCCAGCGCACACCGCCCTCAAAGTTCAGCAGCAGGCTGACAAAGAAATATTTCCAGGGATGCTTCCAGGCTTGGCAGCGGCGCTGGGATCGTTGTGTTCACTCCCAGGGGAACTACTTTGAGGGTGATGGATGAATTTAATACCTGAGATAAGTGTACGGGTTTCAATACGCGCAGTCTGGAAACTTTCCGATCGCACCTCGTATTTTGCATCGGATGTTTTTGAACAGTTGTTTCTGTGTTTTGATTTCCAGATTCGTAGTGTAGCAGCACCAGAATTATGTGTTGATACAGAAAACAAAAAGGCTGATGAACGTTTCGGACTGAAGGAATGTATTAAAGATAACGGAAGATCCGTGGGAGAGCAGGTATGTGTACCGGTATTTGCGGACATGTCATTTTAAATGGGTAAGGAGAGTTTTTCATGCACAGTGTGATGATATCATGAGTTTGAGAGGTGGGACGTACAGACTGCCACCATCAAGAAATTAGCACTCCTTTTTGATATTTGGAATACCATGGATTCAGTTCATGGCTCAGTGATGAGCTCCCTCGACTGAAGTTATCATCTGTCCCTTGAGGCAAATACCAGAATAGTGCCTCAAATTAGGCCATTTTGTTTATTTCCATATTACTTTCAAAGCTTTGGTTGGATGTTTTGTTTCAGATGAACTGAATTGTACACATTTTGATAATAGTTGGAAATAATTTGGTACCAGAACAGGAATTTTGATAATAGTTGGAAATAATTTGGTACCAGAACAGGAATGCAGTTGGCATATAAAAAATTTGACGCTTTTCCATCTTTGCTGTACTTCTTTTGCAGAATTTGATTCTCACGTGGCACAAAGATATCCGTCCAAAGGGCCGCACAATGTGTTGGGATGTGTCGGATGTCCAGAATAAGGCAGCAGTCAATTTGTTTCCTTGTCATGGTATGCAGGGTAACCAACTATGGCGTTACAACCCGGTGAGTCAGTTGCAAGGGTACTAGAGTGTCAGACTCTGTATGTGGCGTCCCCAAATCCAGAAGGACATAAAATCTGTATTTTTCCCAGTGATTTTTTTCTCTTGTGATGTTTAAAACGGGTGCTTTGCGGTTCTTTGACTCACCACCATATGCGAGTGGTGCCACTGTTGGTTGTCCCCTTACTGCTAATATAAGGCAGCGGATGGCGTAAGTTGTGGGATTTTATGCGTTTCTAGACGAAGATGATACCACTGAAAATTTTAGAGGTTTTTCTGTTTCTCATGAGAGACAAATTGTGAATTGCAGACAAAACATTCCTTGACACATGGTTTTTATTATTTGTTTCGTCTGTTATAAAATTCCTCTGCGTTATGATCCAAAATCCGTAAAATCAAAAATGCTTCAGTTTGCGGGCATCGCAGGAAAGTGGTCTGGTACTGTACCTTAAATTATGTGCGCTTGAGTGAGACATCATGCCAGCTTTGAAATTAACTCTGTCTCATTTTTCATTTTTTTTTGGGGGGGTGGGGTGGTGGGGTCATAATTTCAGAATCTCAACCTGCATTCAGATGTATTATGCAGCTTATTATTCCATTTGAAATTTTTATTTACTTTATATGTAATGAGGAATGAACTGACAGGATATCTTTATTCCATAGTGTCTTGGAATGATTTTTGTTGAGGTAGGTTCTTGATATGCAGCGTATAGGTCGAGCAGACAAGATATGCGGATCTCGAGTTTCATGGCGAATTAATGTTGAATGCGGGTCTTGGTGGATGGGAAGGAACGTGGAAAGTAGAGCGATGTTCAGTGCAAGAAGTAACGTACGCATCCGCTGCGGCTCTGATGCCACGCCGTGTGGCATAAGTGACGGCTTCACGCGTGAGGTACGAATTGCCGCAGGTTTACGCCTTGTCATGCATTTCTCAGTTTCGTTGAAGATACCCGGAGTCTGATGTCTCAAAGTGCAGTCTGTGAGCCGTCTCTGTTTTACCCTGACGCGCTTTGTTTGCCGTAATTAAATACAGGCTGACAAAGAAATATTTCCAGGGATGCTTCCAGGCTTGGCAGCGGCGCTGGGATCGTTGTGTTCACTCCCAGGGGAACTACTTTGAGGGTGATGGATGAATTTAATACCTGAGATAAGTGTACGGGTTTCAATACGCGCAGTCTGGAAACTTTCCGATCGCACCTCGTATTTTGCATCGGATGTTTTTGAACAGTTGTTTCTGTGTTTTGATTTCCAGATTCGTAGTGTAGCAGCACCAGAATTATGTGTTGATACAGAAAACAAAAAGGCTGATGAACGTTTCGGACTGAAGGAATGTATTAAAGATAACGGAAGATCCGTGGGAGAGCAGGTATGTGTACCGGTATTTGCGGACATGTCATTTTAAATGGGTAAGGAGAGTTTTTCATGCACAGTGTGATGATATCATGAGTTTGAGAGGTGGGACGTACAGACTGCCACCATCAAGAAATTAGCACTCCTTTTTGATATTTGGAATACCATGGATTCAGTTCATGGCTCAGTGATGAGCTCCCTCGACTGAAGTTATCATCTGTCCCTTGAGGCAAATACCAGAATAGTGCCTCAAATTAGGCCATTTTGTTTATTTCCATATTACTTTCAAAGCTTTGGTTGGATGTTTTGTTTCAGATGAACTGAATTGTACACATTTTGATAATAGTTGGAAATAATTTGGTACCAGAACAGGAATTTTGATAATAGTTGGAAATAATTTGGTACCAGAACAGGAATGCAGTTGGCATATAAAAAATTTGACGCTTTTCCATCTTTGCTGTACTTCTTTTGCAGAATTTGATTCTCACGTGGCACAAAGATATCCGTCCAAAGGGCCGCACAATGTGTTGGGATGTGTCGGATGTCCAGAATAAGGCAGCAGTCAATTTGTTTCCTTGTCATGGTATGCAGGGTAACCAACTATGGCGTTACAACCCGGTGAGTCAGTTGCAAGGGTACTAGAGTGTCAGACTCTGTATGTGGCGTCCCCAAATCCAGAAGGACATAAAATCTGTATTTTTCCCAGTGATTTTTTTCTCTTGTGATGTTTAAAACGGGTGCTTTGCGGTTCTTTGACTCACCACCATATGCGAGTGGTGCCACTGTTGGTTGTCCCCTTACTGCTAATATAAGGCAGCGGATGGCGTAAGTTGTGGGATTTTATGCGTTTCTAGACGAAGATGATACCACTGAAAATTTTAGAGGTTTTTCTGTTTCTCATGAGAGACAAATTGTGAATTGCAGACAAAACATTCCTTGACACATGGTTTTTATTATTTGTTTCGTCTGTTATAAAATTCCTCTGCGTTATGATCCAAAATCCGTAAAATCAAAAATGCTTCAGTTTGCGGGCATCGCAGGAAAGTGGTCTGGTACTGTACCTTAAATTATGTGCGCTTGAGTGAGACATCATGCCAGCTTTGAAATTAACTCTGTCTCATTTTTCATTTTTTTTTGGGGGGGTGGGGTGGTGGGGTCATAATTTCAGAATCTCAACCTGCATTCAGATGTATTATGCAGCTTATTATTCCATTTGAAATTTTTATTTACTTTATATGTAATGAGGAATGAACTGACAGGATATCTTTATTCCATAGTGTCTTGGAATGATTTTTGTTGAGGTAGGTTCTTGATATGCAGCGTATAGGTCGAGCAGACAAGATATGCGGATCTCGAGTTTCATGGCGAATTAATGTTGAATGCGGGTCTTGGTGGATGGGAAGGAACGTGGAAAGTAGAGCGATGTTCAGTGCAAGAAGTAACGTACGCATCCGCTGCGGCTCTGATGCCACGCCGTGTGGCATAAGTGACGGCTTCACGCGTGAGGTACGAATTGCCGCAGGTTTACGCCTTGTCATGCATTTCTCAGTTTCGTTGAAGATACCCGGAGTCTGATGTCTCAAAGTGCAGTCTGTGAGCCGTCTCTGTTTTACCCTGACGCGCTTTGTTTGCCGTAATTAAATACACAACAGACATTCTGTCTCCCTGCCTGCAAGTGTTATAACTTCAAAATAGTTTATCATAGATGTAATTAGTTAACAATCCCAATTTATTAATGTTACATTTCTGACATTAAGACAGTACGTTGAATGCCTTTCATTGGTGCTGCCCTTCACAGCTTGTCGTTTCTTAATTGTTAAGGGCGGGGTGATAAGTGAGTGGAGTCGCATGTTGTGTGTCACAATAAGGTTCCTAGTCTCATCAGGAGGCTGGAATATGAAGCAG